TCATCGGTAATAACATCTGGTAATTTCTTGATTAAATTGGACAAAAATTAAGTGACAAACGAGAGAAGAGAAAAATAAACATTAATATGTAAAAATTTCGGACTCCAAAAAGTTATTGAAAAATTACTAAAATTTTAGCTCGAATCCTTTAATGCGTACATGTTGAACAGTGCACAGCTACTTGTGGTCGCAATTGTTCAAATTAATGAGAGGTTGCCCAAAAGCAGTAAGTATCATGCAGTAAAAATGATGATTGGCGTAAAGCAGAAAAGGAGAAGTAGATGTTAGGTGATATTCAGTATCTCTGAAAGAAAGAGAAACGTTTGATAATACTTAAATCATTCTCGTGACTTTCTTTCTTCTACGTATAAGCGGAGCGCGTTACAAGTTAAAAAATCTGTCTCTACGTTTGCGAATTCTTGTACAGTCACATGAATACATTATTCGTATGAAAAACATTATTCTCTAGAAGGTGTAAGAAGTACAGTTGATCTTAGAAGTATTTACAAACTTGCATTTCAAACTGTCAACAAATAAAATATACATGTTAGACCTACACTTCCAAAATAATACTGGAAGTCATTAAAATGCGACTCTTAAGAATGTTTGCGTGACATTTAAAGAGAATTTGACAGTGCATATAGAATTGGTAGAATAATGAATGTGAATATGTGTATTCAAACACGAATGTAATGTAGAATATCTTTGGAAGATAACAACTATGGGAATTAGAAATCCACTGTATTTAGTTTCAGTGTTAGAATTATCAAATCTCCAAATTCTTTGACTTTCAAATCTCCAAATTTTGGAATTTTTAAATTTACAAATTTCTAGATTTAGAAATTTCCAAATTTCAGAATCAAACAAATTATGGGACCTTGTACCGCTATATTACTATATTTCTACAGCGAAAAGAATACATATAAACCTTAATAATACGTGAAATTTTGATCATAAGAAGGAGTCTGTAGCAGTTTTTAGAACGTTCTTGAACTGCGTTGAGACTTTTAAATAATATATAACTGTGATACATAGATTAAGTTTGTGAAGTGTTTTAAATTTTTAATAGAACTTCAATAAATTTGATTTGGGAAAGCGTCAAATTCTCAATGAGTAAGGAAGATGCGTCAATGAAAAAACCGTGATTACTTTGGTGAATAGATGTCCAGTAATAAACAGAGTGTGACGCACAAGCATCTAAAAAATATAAATAATACGAAAAATATTTGGAACAATAATTATATGGTACAAAAATCTTTATTTAACCTTACAGTAATTCTGAAATATGCTGTAAAGGTCATGTTTGAAATTTTATGAATAATGTAAGTTTTTTGCACGAATTAATTCTTCAGAGTATTCTTTATAAAATGTGTTATATATCACAAAAATTCGTATTTTAAGAAGTATTTTAAATTAATGGTGATTTCATTAATCTCACAATTTTTTATTATTGGAGTACCGAAAAGTAATCAAAATTTTGTTTGCTGGCGAAAAATATTTATTTATTAAAGAAATCTTAATCAACAAAATATTTCTATCACTTTCTAACGCTTTTTGCCAGCGTAAAGGCAATTGTTCCCTTCTTAAAAAAAGTCCTTCGATTTTTCATAGAAAAAACTTTGAAATCATCGAAGAAATTTTGATTACTTTTCGGTAACCCTAATATATATAAATATACACGATATCTGACAAATTTTTGTTTATATCGAATACGAATACTTTTATTAACCAGAATATACCAAATAATCGTTGTACACAAAATTGTACAGTTGCATTTATCATAAAAGTACATTTGCATATTCTTTACTTTACAAAAATATATTATTGTGTCATCGAATGATTTTTCTAAATATTCTGCATAAAATGTATTATGAAGTAGCAAAAATATCAAACAATTCGTGAGTTAATTTTCTCTGAAATTTTTGTATTAAATATCTGATGTTTCATTTTAGAATATTTTAAGAATTTTTTACTTTTTTATAGTATACTTTAACATTGTTTCGTGTACAATACTCTGAACAATCAATACATCTAAAAACCATTATATTTAAACATTTAAAGGTAACTTTCAAACAGTCTTTCAAGATCCACAAAAGGCTAATATATAAGAATAAAAATATACCATACAATTTTGTATACTTCTCTTATTTTTAAAATGGTTGAGCGTTAACTTTAAACACACACTGTATATTTTCGTAGATAATATTCTGATATTTTGTAACTTATTTCATCTATTAACAGTTTAGAATACAAGCGTTGAAATACTCTTCCGAGTGACTGTACTAGGTCATCTAATAATCATTGTGCTATGTTTCATTTATTATGGGACGACTTAACCCATTCGACCCGACATTTCCTATTTAAATTTTATTCTTTCTTTCTTTGGAAATTAATATTACTAACCTAAGGATAAATGCATATCAAGCCTAAAATTTTTCTACTAGGACTTTTGAAATTAAGACGCCTAGTAGCCCATTTTTTAAATGGGTATATGCTTATAAAAGTATACATATAAAGTCTTTAAATGTCTCAATTATTTTGTCTATATTTAAATATCTAATTCAAGTAATATTAACCCTTGGTTAACTCCTTTGTATTTTTGAACTCTCATATGTGATACCATTAAGAAAATGCTTCTACGTATACTCAATAAGATAGATAAAACCATAATAATTTAACGAATGCAGGTAATTTGTACTATAAATTAGCGACAATAGCAATTATTTTTAATAATATAACATTAAATAAAATACATTAAAGGCTTTTTGAACATTTTTAATTGAACTATATTATGTCTAATTATACCATCAATATAATTTTTGTAAAACTTTGTAAAATCAATTGTGAATTCCAACTTTCTTTTAAGTTAACTAATTTCATTTATATTGACAAATAGAAATATATATATCAATTATTTATTTAAAAATAGTTGTTCCCTCAGCCGCAACTTTGAAATCAACTGCTTCAAATGCTTGGAAATCAACATTCAATTTCTCGGCGAAAGAAAACCTTCGATATCAATTAAAAAAAAAAGAAAACAAGAAAAAATCACTTTGTGCTCATAATCAAAGGTCTCTAAGGACTACTGTGAAATCGTTTAATAATTCGTGTAAAAAAACAAAATTTCGGCCACTGTGACTCTATAACTGCAAATACTAAATATAGTTTATCCTGCAAATTGCTATATTGCTAACTGTCATAGTTACTAATCAAAGATAGTGTTATATAATTCAACTAAAAAAGTATGAATAATGCATATGCAACACATACTGTCCCACAAATAGTCAGAAATATTCATTGAAACGTGTGTTCTGTCGGAGGCGAAAGGGTTAATATGTATATGTATATTTATGAATAATGAAAATTTAGGAATATTAGTGGAGTCTTAAGGAAGTATTCCCATTCGGAGTCATCGATTTTTAATAATTTATCAAATAAAAATGATTGGCTTGTTACTGCTTAAAAATTTTGAAACATTGTTTCATGAAATCATGAAATATTTCGAATTTGTTCATGTTCCAAAATAGGATAGTGAAATTTTTAAGTAGTTATCCTGTTTATTATTGAAATTATAGTAATTTCTCTACAATATGTTGCTCTTAATGGTTACCACAATAAACATCACTGCGTTTGTCTAAAAAAACTAAAAGATGATGTTAATCTATGTATAAATGGCTACCTTGTGAACTAGCATAATAAAAAACATAAATATGTTGATAAAATGGAAATTTATATAAACCAGAGATTCATAAAAATGAACACAAATCCCATTAAATTTGCTTTTTTTTTTCACATAATCATTGTTCATATATATGTAATATATGTAATATATGTAATAACATTATTACATATATGTAATAAGCATATCCAGAGTTGTACAGTGAGAACTTCAAAAATATGTACGAGAAAAAAGTTGTACCACATTTTACTAACAATATGACTACCTGTATGAACTTTTTATATTTACATTATTTTTCGAGAAATAAATATGACCGTCCGTTTTTTAAATAGAATGCTATATATTTTTAATATCATATAAGAACGTGTGTCAAAATTCATTCATGTGTATAGTCTTTCAACCATGCAAGGACAAAAATGAGAGAAGCAGATGGAACATTGTATAATATTTCACTTACTAATATGTTGCAACTGCAAATTGATAGAATTACAAGTCACACTTTAGAGCAATATAAGAAGAATTTATAGGTGTAATTTAGAATATTATATTGGATATGGAGTATGTGCATCCATATCTAATACAGCATTATCACAAAGTACCAGGAGTGTAGTCAGTAGAGCTCAGAAATGCATTCTTGCCAATTGAGTGACATTGAACACGATATATAGTTCTATTAATTTGTAATGGCAACATACTAGTAAATACAATATTACAGAACGTTTAATTTGTTTCTTTCGTTTTTGCTTTTACATGGCCCTGAAGATCACAATCATGCACATAAATGATTTTGGCACACACTGTTATAGTATTCTATTTAATAAACTGAAGGTCGCCATCGCTTCTCGAAAAATAATACAGATATAAAAAGTTAATATACATCGTATCAATATACTAATATCTAATAATAGATAAAGTTGTTAATAAAATATAGTATTATTTGTTTCCGTTGGTTAAAATCCTTACAGTACACAAGAAAAACACTGATCCATATTACTGCGAACCCTGAGTACGTAAAATTTAATGAAGATTAGTCATATAAGAAATATGACTTCCATAAATACTAAAATATCACAGCAATGAACTATCTCCTATATATCGTTTTGGAATAATTTTTATAAGTATATTTCAATAAACCCAAATATGTAATTTCGAAACACTTTTAAGATAATATATTCAAAGGAAGTGTAATAAAAAAGATCGATATGCTTGACCTTTCCGAATAGGAATACCCCCTTGAACTTAAAGAGAAAATTTTTGTGACTATATGATCCTTCAGAAACGTAGAGACAGTCGTGCAAAGTCGAAAAATCATGATGTCGACCTGATTGCTGGGATCACGCTCTGGATCATCCGCCACGTCGCTGGAAAATTCTCTTCGAATGAATTGGTTGTGAGCATCCCTTGACGACTTGAGACTCTCGGATTCTCGTAGCCTGTTTAATTCGATTTCCAACTCCATGATCTTCTGTTCCTTCCTGAGCTTTACAGTTTCCAGTTGTTGTTGCCTCTCCATGAAACCTTGGATAGTTTTGATGGCCTTCTCGTGCTCGCCCTCCAGCTTCTTCAGTTTGTGGTCCGTTGTTTCAATGTGCTTTTGCATGTTGCACAACTTCAATACCAATTGCTTCCTTGCTTCTTCTTGCCGTTTCAGTTCTGTGTCTTTTTCTTCTAGTTCCTATAGTAAGTTTTATTTCTTTTTAATGAATTTTCTTCACAGTAAACATATTTTATTTGTTTTTAATTAGTTTTCTTTGTAGGAAACATGTTTTATAAGGAAAGTCTAGGCTTCGACACATTTTGTTTGTCCAATAAATAAAAACTAACAATTTAAAATATATTGTATTTATTCATTTCTATTTTAGAGATAATATGGAAGTAATAACTTTTTTTTTATGAAATTCAAATAAATCAATTGTAAAGAATTTTATATATCAATTAATTACGTTATAACATGTTATAAAGCTCCGATAACAGTTGATAATATTTACAAAAGAATTGAAAATTATTTAAGTAAAAAATAAGAAAGATACAAAACAAAAAATTATTTCCTTTTGTAATCAAACAGTGAAATAATTATAGTAATTAAAACTAATCATAGTAAAATACTACTAGAGAAAAATCATTTACATATTCAAATAAGCCAGCACAATTATTTCAAATGACATATAGTTAAATAAGATAGCATATTATTCAAAATTGAATTAAAATATATCCACAAAGTTCTAAATTTCCAATTTTTTTACGGAGTAACTGAAGTAGATGCAGTTGTTTTCCATCAAAAAGTAATTATATTTAATAACTGCAAATAAACGACTCAAGTATTATGTATATTAAACTAATTAAAATCTTAACTCATTATAAACCAAAATATCATTTATGTCTTTATTATAAGATATAATATGCTTCGAAAACTTTTTGGCGTCACTGTACCTTCTATCAATCGTAAGTAACTTTCACGATTGCAAATATAAACATTTTCTGAAGAAGATTCGAAATTTCCACGAACCTTAATTAAATCTCTCACATCTTTCGTCTCTCCGCCAAGAGTTTGCAGTGGCGACTTCAATCTCATTGACCTTTCTCTGTTCGGTTCCCAATCGAGACCAGTATTTGCCTTCTTCGCCATCCCTTGGACACAAGTCATCTTTTGTCCCATTCTCGATTGCAAAGGATCCTCGATTGAGTTCATAGCCATAGGACTACTAGGTGGAGATCGCTTAGTATAACCGTTTTCAAACTGTAATAAAAATTAATCGAACCGTGCTTAAAAACTTTCTGTTTGACATAATTCACAGTATTGCATTATAACATTAATTATTCAAACTAGAATAATATATTATACAATACATTAAAATTACTTTATTTAACTTTATTTGTTTCCTCAGTGGTAATAATTACGGTGGTAAACATACTAGTTTCGATCCTTTTATAAATTTGAAAAGAAATTATAAAAAATACAAATAATTAACTTTTATATATATAAAATTATATATAACTTCTATGTATAAAAGTTAAGTAGCAAGCTTTCTTGATCATAATCAAATCGTAGGCCACAGTATCCTTTATTCAGATACATTTATAATTTTCTACTACCTCGGTTAAGTTCCAACAATTATTTTCTTTTTAATTAGCACAAATGTATCATCCTCATCGCTTGTAATATTTGGAAGTTCAATACCACTTTCATTGTTATTTATAATTTTTTCGAATTTAATTTGTTCTCAATCTTTACACTTATTGAGTTTATACTTTGCTGTTATTCACTACAATATTTCATTAAATTAACAGCGACAATGTAAATACCTCTATCCTTATCTCAACAGCACTAACGTATTATAAAATCACCGAATAAGTTACTGTATACAATTCTCACTTTTAAAATTTCCAGGAAAATGTTTTCTGACCGCATAAATTAAAATCATACATAAAAACTATCGCGTGAATATTGTTATAATTTAGTACGTAAAAAGTGCCGTGTAAATTGAGGAACGAGTTTACGAGCCAACGTGTTTCTCACGTATCATTGAAACTGAATCGATTCAGAACCGTAGTTTCGTGTTAACCCTTTGACTTATAATATCGTGACGCGCAATACATTTCAGATACAACAAAGCTAAATCGTATTTGCACCATGATTGAGATTGGAATTTAATGTTAATTTAAATGTACATAATCAAGAACTCTAAATCGAAAAGATACTTGATATTTCAACTTTTCGTATTTGTCTTAACACTGCAGCAATAATTAGTCCTGACTGATACAATAACCGAAAAAGTCATAGGTTACGGGGTTAACAATAAGTTATGATACAATGTTTTGTTTGATAACTAAAAAACGTAAAACAAAGAAATGGAAGAATTACCTGAGAGAGCAGGGCACGATGTTTGTTGTTCAGATCCGTGAGGGCATCGTCCCTGGTTTTTATAGACGCCCTTAACTGATCGACTTGCTTCTTTCTTTTCTCCGAAACCGTATTCAGCTCCTCGTATGCCCGACACTTCTCATCCAGCTGAGCGTTTTTCTCCTTAATGATTCTTTCTTTTTCGACCAGCTCGTTTCGACACTGTTGGACGACAGTATCCCTTTTCAGCACTTGATCCTCCAGCTCCTTCACTTTCTCCCGTAACTCTTCTATATCTTGCACCCTCTCGGCGGCCAAATTCTCTCTTAAACGCGTCTCAGCTTCTAAACGTTCCCTGAATTCGTCCCTTTCGCTCTCGAGTTCTTGTGCCCAACCACGTTCCTCTTCCAAACTGTTCGTTACTTGTTTCACCTATGTTAAGCCACGAATTATAACATGATCAATTCTGGTCCACTCTAACTCTTTACGAACAAAACTCTTCATAAACTGTTACTAATCAGTCCCTAAAAGAGATCGTTTACATTATGTCAGTAAGCCATGCTAGTGGCACATGCCAGTAGATAGTCGAATTTTCGCGTTTCTTACTTTGCCTGTACCAGGTCTGTCGTTGAAGGTTTTTTCCTTTCTTGCCTTCCTTCCACCAGACACTCGTCTCTTGACCCGCCCTCTTTTAACACAAGAATGGAGATTCAGACAAAGTAAGAAACGCCTGATACAAGCAAAGTAATAAACGCAAAAATTCAACTACCTACTGGCTCGTGTTACTAGCATGGCTTACTGGCATAGGTAAAGGGTCTCTGAAACTGCCCATAATTCTGACTCTAATTTGTTCACCTACCGCGTTTAGTGTAAGTATAAATAAAAATACGAAAATACAAGATGTGTTCAAAAAATTTGGTCACTTGTGTGAACCATTTATTTTGAAAGATTCAAGTTTCAAAGTTTAATCACAATTTTTCGGCGGTAATATAGAAATATTGTTCTTTATTTCTACCCAGAAGTATTCAGTGGGATTTATATTTAATGACTGGAGTGATATTTCTATATAATACAAAATGTTACACAATATCTACTAACGATAACAACTTTATGCTTTTGATCGTTGTTCTGCTGTAACGTAGTTATCTTTGATTTTTAATTTCTTACCACTTCGAAGTAAATATTAATATAACATTTTATGTTATTATAACTTGTTAATATATATATGTAAATTAAACGATCCATGGTATCTGTTGTAAATCGGTCAATAATGGTCGAATACTGGATTCAAATATAGAGCCTCTTCTCTTTTCTTTCAAGAGTGACAACATTCTTTTTGTTTTAGCTTCTTCCTGTTTCCCGTAATGAGCAGAGTTGTCGGGCATGGGATGTTAAGCGCTATTTTTTCCATCTTTTTTCAAAACTATTATTATGTTCACTTATGTTATACTTTTTATGTAAAATAAAATGCGAGTGCTGGTCGACTACAAATATTCATATTTGTGTGTTACTACTTAAATTTACAACAATATTATTTATAATGTAGTAATTACCAATTCAGCTAACTATGTTAAATTTTCTCTTTACATCTCTATATTTGATTCCTTCCAAATTTTTTTACTAGATGCATCGTAAAAAAGAATAAAATTTGAACTTATTCGTGAACATAATACGTTTCCAAAAATCTTCTGATTTTAGAACGTAGTTTTTGACGAAATATTAACTCATTTTACTATTTGTAGTAATTAATGATTTCTTACGACTAATGTGGCTGTATAAGTTGACTGCATGGAGCACCCATCAACTTATGTCACGATCAAAAGTTTTGCCTAAATGAGATAGAACCCTATTCAATATTTAAGTTTGAGTATGATTTTTAGCGACTTTAGTCAAAAATTAATAAGCTTTAGTGATTTTTGTTTATTTTATATAATTTTGATCGGAGACATGAATAGTAGATATTTGATTTACAATAATATACAAAAATGGGACATCAGTCAGGATTTTGAAGCCAAGAAACAAAAATTTTATGACATCTTTTGTAAAATATTCTTTGTACAATAATCTAGGTTAGTAAAGAGCCCGGTTTTGCACTTTTATTCTTAAAATTTCATGAAACGGGAACGCAAGTTTTTATCTAAGAAACATTTTCATGACCCATTTTTCCAAAAAAGCATTCTTTACCGTCCTAGATAGTTGCACAAAGAATGTTTTGCAAATGAAATCCTGACAAAATGCTTCTTGCCTTCAAAATCCCAACAAAACAAAATCGCATTTTTCCACATTTTTGGAAACCAAATATGTATTCCTGTCTCTCTTGACCAATACGCCATAAAATAAACCAGGAAAGCCGCTTATTTTATTGGTTAATAAGATAAATTTATTAATTTTCGCCAGAGGCCCAAAAAATAACTGGGAGTATTCTCGGTGCTTATTCTAGACCTTTAAACAATTAAACGTCTACCTGCAAAATGGAGTATTCGAATGATGGATAAATGTTCTCTACAAGGTGTCATTTCATAAATGAATAAGCGTGATACCTAGATAGTTCTGTTAGTACAATTTTACTGTATACAATCGATGACCAAATTATTATACTGAAGAAATTTCTATTCAAAAATATGTAATAAATACGGTTATAATTAGCTTAACAATGTTACCGATACTTGATATATTCAATAATAAAAGACGGCTACAAGTGAATGTTAAGTATATGTTTTGGGATTCTGCTAGTGATGGAACGAAAATCTTGACTTCCGGTAGATGCTGAAGTTTTATGTAATTGTAAGTAAAAAAGGCAAAACGACGAAGTAATAAATAATTGTATTTTCTTGCATTATATAGAATCCGATTTATGTTTAAGTATTCAATTATGACTTTCAATTACATACATTATTGTCAACAAGTAATACGAGTAATAAAAATAATTATATTTTACCATGACAATAAAAATATCTGTTCTCTTTCGTTGATATTATAAAATATGAAATAAAAATTTATATTTAAGTATAATAATTTGACTATCCATTGTGAATGTCTTTTTCAAGTTTAAACAAGGTTTTTATCTTTATAAAGACGAGGTAATATAACATTACCAAAATCACTCTTCATGTTTTCCATTTCTAAACATTTCAAACATTTCAAAAATTCAATTATATTTCACATTATTTCTTCGCTAAAAAATGTACGATCAGATATGATATACGCATTGTTGAAAAAAGAAAAGAAATTGTTGATACAAAAACTGAATAAATGTCATTTACTAACGAAAGCCACACAACTTTCTGGCCAATTGAATACTTAGATTAACTCAGTTCAGACCAACACAATATATCACCTTATTTCAAGCCTCAAAGTAAATAGTTGCAGCGATTAAAAATATACATAGAACACTTTTCACCACACACAAAACTAATTTTTATCAGAATAGCTGATGAGGAAAGAGTGTCACAATATTCGAATATAAACGTGTTTCAGATATTTTATTTGAAGAATATAGATGCAAGCTTGACCACGAGTAGGAGCGTACTGATTAATTTTTTTTCCCTCTTTCGAACAGTGATAGCCCTCTTATCTAGTAACGCATTCCTTTCGCGGCAGCTGAAGGAAGTGGACACAGATAACATAAAAACGATGTGGATACATAAAAAGACAAATATGTAGGACAGAATTTCCTTATCGATAGCTGTGTGCACGAACGATATATCATTCTTTAGGATGAGTTTCATGGAAGTGAGTCAGGAAATGCAGTCATTTCTTCTAGTTAATCCCTGTAGACTCGCGTTGTCATACTTCCGGAAATAATTGCTAACAGTTGAAGTTTTTAATAGGAATATGAATAGTTTAAACGAAGCGTACTTAATAAACGCGGAGAAAGAGTATAATCCTTTTTCCTGGAAATGATGGGTGAGTTATTAAAAAATGCGGTTAAATGAAAGATTATGCTCTACAGTTAGAACTTGTGTAGCTTCAAGGTAGAATGTCAAAAAGACCTTACTTTGACTTTTGATGTTTAACACGTTCCGTGCCGGATCGTTTTTTCAAGACTTTCCGTTCAGGCCGCATGGGGCGCATACGCCCCACGCTTTAAACTTGTGTTTTTTTGATTTGGCATATACTTTACTATGATTAAAATAGTGCAAAAATCATAATTATCAAGGGAAGGATATACATTTTAAGATGCATAATACACCAGAGCAATAAATTTATTTTTCTAGGGGCATACGCCCCACGCGGCACGGAACATGTTAATAAACACTGCTATTTTATTTTATGTTTGTATATGTATTTGTTTCAAGCAGTATATCTGGGAAAAAGAGTGAACAAAATCGAGAAGTTCTTGAATTCAAAACCGACAAAATATATTAAAACTAACAATTGTAGATGGCACAATTAGTTTTTAATCGAAGGTCTCTGTGACTGACCTTTCTCTAAACAGTAAATTCATTTCTACCACTATTCTCATTTTCATTATTTTCTCTTATTTCATTATGGGTAAAAATTCGTTGCAACCGTGTTACTATAAGAACCACTAGAATAGATATTTTCAAATCAACCTTTCATTTAATGACGGTCCATATCAAAGTCACTGTTCAAGAAGTCAAAATAAAATTTGTCGTCAGTGCTTTCGATTTGGAAGTACACTTTTTGCAGTTACTTTCTTTTCGCCATTTTAGGATATTACTTGTCAAATATTTTATAAAGCGAAAATGCCTAATTACGTTTGAACACAATTTGTAATGTACAGGGCTATCATAATTGATTCCATCGTTCGAAAAAACTACATTTTCAAAAGTATTACACATACTCACATGAAATATATATGAAAAGAACCACAAACTCTCCAAGCTTATACGCCCTCTACATATGTTCAATATCTGTCCTTTTGGTGACACGACACATCCAGACGACAATCGAGCTCATTCCATACATTTTGTAGACCTATCAAGTGTCTACAATGCAGCATTAATGCGTTATTCCTCTAGAACCTAGCTTTGTTCCTTTGACTTCCCAGATACCCTGATTTAACGTCCTGCGATTTCTTCCTGTGGGTGTACGTTCAGGACCTTATTTACGTACCACCACTACTGCAATCCTTAGTCAAACTCAAAGAACATCTCAGTGCTGCAGTGCAGACAACTGGCAGGACTATGCTACAAAATGCATGGAATGAGTTCGATTATCGTCTTGTGTGTCGTATCCCCAAAAGAGCACATATTGCACATTTGTAGATGATGGACAGTTGATCACGAAAATATTCGAACACGACTATAGTTTTGATTATTATAGTCCGTACTTCAATGTATGCAATGTATGCAATAAGAACAAAAAGAGGTCTTACATATGTTACTACGCAGTGTGTAGTTAACAAAAACATATACTTAGTATGTACTGGGTGAGTTTGTGGTTCTTTTCATATATCTTTCATATGTCTACGTACAATACTTTTAAAGATATAGTCTGTTCAAAACAAATTAATCATTTATGCCCTGTATTGTTTGGAACTCCCATGTAACTCTGAAGCTTGTTCACTTAGTATAAGATCAATACATGTTAGATGCAAGTGTATAGTTGCTGAGAGCAGACTTAGGATTGGAATGTTAAAGAGGCTTTGTTGGTTGAGAGTAAATATGCGATCGCAAAGGGTTAAACGTTAAAAAGTTAAAAATTTTAATTAACAGTTTACCTCGGCCTCTAGAGATGCAAGAAGTTCCTCCATTTGACGCAATTTCTCCTCGTTCTCCAGTGCCTTCTCTGGCGTAATTCCGAACGCTTCCTTATAGTAGATTGATGCATCTGCAACCTTTTCCTGGTATTCCGCTAATTCTGTCGCAACAGAGAGCAGTACAACGTTTTCATCGCACCGAGAATAAATTAGCCTTTAGGAAAGCAAGAAGTATAAATCAAAGAAGGAATTTGGACGACCAACGACATACATAGTTATAACCGGGAATGCAAGATGAAAAAACAAGATTTTATATACATTGTTTTTTCAGAATTTATTTAACAATTTATTCTATTTATCAAAGTTTATTACGCAGCTTATTCTGTTTATTAAAATTTATTCTAAAAATTATCAAAAGTTACTTGTTCATCAGGACTTATTCCACAAATTATTCTACTTGTCAGAATTCGTTCCAAAGTATTTTCTGTTGATTAGAATTTATTCCACATTTTGTTCAATTTTAAGGAGAATGTATTTCAGAATACATTCAAGACTTTATTGTATTTATCGGAATTTATTCAAAATTTATACTATTTTATTTATCAATATTTGATGCACAATTTATTCTGTTCATCAAAATTCATTTTATTAATAGTAGAATACAATATTCATAGTGATATTATAATTAAAGAATTATGAGGGAAGCAACATATAACTTGTCTCCATAATGATACAATAGAAATCGATTTTGATTAGTAGTATGAAAACTGTGTGACCTTATAGAATGTCTGTTATGTTTATATTAATTTTATATAAGTATTGTTAATGATTAAACAACTACTACGATTTTATCCCTCTTTTTAACTACGTTGGAACCTAAAATCATGAATCTCTTCAAAATTTATTATTGTCATATTTACTTCGTTTCTATTAAATATAACAAGGTTTCACTGATGTAGATTTCATTTCCACTAAATATAGTATAAAATAAAGAATTTGGAAAAAAAAAGAAAATCGAAATTCGAAAGTATGAAAAATTAAAAATGTGACAATTCAGAAATTGCGAATTCATGAATTCAAGAATTTTTTGGAATTTAGGAATTTGAGAGTTTCAGAATTGAGGAATTCAGAAATTTTAGAACTTATAAATTATTTAACACAAAAATTCAAAAATTGAAAACTTAAAAGTTTGAAAGTGTGAAAATTAAAATGTCTGAGTATTTCAAATTTAGGGACACCGAAATATAGAAATTTAGAAATGTAGAAATTAAAACCTTTAAGAATATAAGAATTTTGGTATTTGCAAACTCGAATGTTTAAAAATTCGAAAATTTGCAATGTGAAGATGAAAAAAACTAATTATTTGAAATCTGAGAATTTTGATAATTTGCAAATTTATAAAATTGTAAATTTGAAAGTTTGAACATTTAACTACTAAAAATTTAATAATTCGGAAATTTAGAGACTTAATAACATGCGAATTTGGTCACTTGCCAAATTTAGGAATATTGGAATTTGGGTTAGGTCACGTTGCACGGAGCGACAAAATTTCCTACAAACCTGCCCTGATTGTGAAAACCGAAAATAATTTTTCCGTCACCATTTAGAATCTTCATAACTAACCTTTCTCGAGCTTCCTGATTTTTTCCCTTTCATTCTCGAGCGATTGTTGATACTGAGCTTGGTTCCTAGAGGAAGCTTCCTTTTGTTCTTCAATTAATTCGAACGCTTTGGCTGCTTGACTAAGAAGTTCCTGCTTCTCGAGCAACTCCTTCCTCAATGATTCAATTTCGACCTATCAGTAAAATTAAATTCCGTTAAGTCATGGAAGAGTATAATAATTGAAAGCCATACTTTGTGTAGTCTACTAAATTTTTCTTCTAAAGCAGAATTTTATATGATTATACAAATATTAAGAACTTAAATTGTCGTATTGCTTTTAGCTACAACAAATTTAACTTTACAAAATTAATGAGAAATTTTTAAATAATTACATCGTGAAATAAAATATAGGATTAATTTAACTTCAATAAAAAAGAAATTGAATTTATATTTTGAGTACTGAAACGAATTTATCAGTTAATGATAAGTTAAAATAACTTAAATTGTGAAATGTACGATTCCTCTAATAAGACAAATTGCAATGAAAACGTATAGTCAATTACTTGATTGAAAAATATATGTACATATATAATACGTATTATTTTTAGCGACCCGTTTGTTAGTATTTTATCAAAACTTCGATAATAAATTAAAGATAACACGTTAAAAATTAAAAAGTCGATAAGATACGATGCATTGGTAGTATCTGAAACTTAAAAATATAAAAAACTTAAAAATAAAACTTAAAAATAAATTGAATAAAGAAATACCATTTTATCCCGAAACTACAAATATCTATTCTCAAACCCTTACCACGGACGTGTAATTTAACCCTTATTTCAATGTAAGATTTTATAAATTTATAATTTATATAATTTATAAATCTTATTTATATAATAAGGTTTTATTTAGTTTCGAGGGTTTAAATTATTAAAATCAGAAACTTTATTGTGTTTCAAAGCGGTTCGAAACTTAGACGTTTCCACTCATTCTTAAAACTAAGGATAATTAGCTAAAGCAAAGGACCGTTCAAAGATCAACTCTGGTGATCGAACACTCCAAGTATTATTTTTGGGGATTTTTGTTCATTATGATGTATTGGTCAGGAAACACAAGAACAGTAGATATGGGTCTCCAAAAATATGGACAAATGCGACCTCATTTTGCCAGGATTTCAAAGCCAAGAAGCAATTTTTGATTATGCTTTCTTTTATAAACTAAATTTTTCTTCTAAAGCAGAATTTTATATGATTATACAAATATTAAGAACTTAAATTGTCGTATTGCTTTTAGCTACAACAAATTTAACTTTACAAAATTAATGAGAAATTTTTAAATAATTACATCGTGAAATAAAATATAGGATTAATTTAACTTCAATAAAAAAGAAATTGAATTTATATTTTGAGTACTGAAACGAATTTATCAGTTAATGATAAGTTAAAATAACTTAAATTGTGAAATGTACGATTCCTCTAATAAGACAAATTGCAATGAAAACGTATAGTCAATTACTTGATTGAAAAATATATGTACATATATAATACGTATTATTTTTAGCGACCCGTTTGTTAGTATTTTATCAAAACTTCGATAATAAATTAAAGATAACACGTTAAAAATTAAAAAGTCGATAAGATACGATGCATTGGTAGTATCTGAAACTTAAAAATATAAAAAACTTAAAAATAAAACTTAAAAATAAATTGAATAAAGAAATACCATTTTATCCCGAAACTACAAATATCTATTCTCAAACCCTTACCACGGACGTGTAATTTAACCCTTATTTCAATGTAAGATTTTATAAATTTATAATTTATATAATTTATAAATCTTATTTATATAATAAGGTTTTATTTAGTTTCGAGGGTTTAAATTATTAAAATCAGAAACTTTATTGTGTTTCAAAGCGGTTCGAAACTTAGACGTTTCCACTCATTCTTAAAACTAAGGATAATTAGCTAAAGCAAAGGACCGTTCAAAGATCAACTCTGGTGATCGAACACTCCAAGTATTATTTTTGGGGATTTTTGTTCATTATGATGTATTGGTCAGGAAACACAAGAACAGTAGATATGGGTCTCCAAAAATATGGACAAATGCGACCTCATTTTGCCAGGATTTCAAAGCCAAGAAGCAATTTTTGATTATGCTTTCTTTTATAAAATATTCTTTGCACAACTATCTGATCGGTAAAATGCGCTCTTTTGGAAAAATGGGATGTAAAAACATGTCTTCCTTAAAAAATTTGCATGTTTCTCGTGAGGTCAAAACAAAAAATTGTAAAACCCCCTTATCCCTGACTATATTCTTTGCACAACTATCTGATCGGTAAAATGCGCTCTTTTGGAAAAATGGGATGTAAAAACATGTCTTCCTTAAAAAATTTGCATGTTTCTCGTGAGGTCAAAACAAAAAATTGTAAAACCCCCTTATCCCTGACTATATTCTTTGCACAACTATCTGATCGGTAAAATGCGCTCTTTTGGAAAAATGGGATGTAAAAACATGTCTTCCTTAAAAAATTTGCATGTTTCTCGTGAGGTCAAAACAAAAAATTGTAAAACCCCCTTATCCCTGACTATATTCTTTGCACAACTATCTGATCGGTAAAATGCGCTCTTTTGGAAAAATGGGATGTAAAAACATGTCTTCCTTAAAAAATTTGCATGTTTCTCGTGAGGTCAAAACAAAAAATTGTAAAACCCCCTTATCCCTGACTGACTCACGTATACAAATTCACAGGTCAAACGGTGCGAGATACATTTCCATAAAATCGAACTTCACCTAAAATCAACTGAAAATCGCAGGAAAAGCGCTAAATCTTTAACATTTGCATCCTGAGCCAATAGGAGGCCAAGAAAAGCTTAATGGGGTCGTGAAGCAGATGTATGGAATCGAAGGCGACACACAGGTGGGGTTCTGCCCCCAGCAAGTTTTGAGAGTAAAATTGCAAAATTGGACCTAGATAATTGTACAAAGAATATTTTGCAAAAAAAAATCATAACAGAATACTGCATCTTAGATTCAAAAACCTAGCAAATCGAAATCACATTTTTCTACATTTTTGAAAACCAAATATATACTATCGTTGTCTCTCATGACCAAAACAATATAAGATAAACAAATATCAACGGAGGTTATTACTATTTCGTTAAAGTCGTTAAAAATCATACTGAGAAATTCGATCACCAGAGAGATCCTTAATAAAAAGGTGTGTAACATGCAGAAACCTTCAACTCAATATTCTTCTTAATCGCGTTTTCGTCCGCTGACGTAATACCCATTCGCTCTTCGAGAAAGTATATTCGTAATTTAAGGTTGAAGTTCTCCTTTTTAAGAGCTTCGAGTTGGTCTTCGTATTCTTTCATTGTTCTACCAATTCCTGCCCCGTCTCTGGTTCCGATCACCCCCGTTGGGGAGGTTTTACCAGGCGATCTCACATTTGTGCCTGAAACAGAAAAATAAATACTATAAGTTTTTCTGATGTGTAGGATAAATGTACGTATTTGTTGGCCAACTGTTATGTCCCTCTCAGCGAGCAGTTGTTTATTTCATTATGTTAAAAATTATAAATAAAATAATTTATTAATGAACATCTTAAAGCATTAAAATTAAAAGTAATTCATTTATTATAACAGATTATTCTTTTATTACAGTGTTTAACACTAAACTTCCCAGTGCTAATGCACATTTCATTTGAAATAAAAAATAATATAAGAAAATAAATAAACAAATAATAAAATATAAATTAATATTATCTATTTTGTATTTTATTTACACAATATACAAAATTGGTATTATATCTAATCTAGCACGTAATTTTGGAGAATTGTAGAATTCTAAGAAAGATTGCAAATACAAATTTTTTTGATTATATTTTTAAGACTATAAGATGTTTTATACTACAAACAATTTTAGTTAAAAAATGAGAATAAATCAATTTAATGTTCAGTATTAAATTACAATACATATTTTATCAACCTCATATTTTTAAGTAGACTGCTCAAAACCTGTGTACTATCGAATAATTTTTTATTAGAATTTATTTGAAAACTTTGGTTGCTTTTTAAAATACTTGTGTACAAGTTTGGTAGACTTGTAAAAAATTTATTTAAAAGTATAACTTTTTACAAAATTTAAAAATTTGATATCTTTCCAGAAAATTTATTTAAAAATATTAAATAATATTTTTATATAGATACAAGTGATTTTAATTAAAAAAAAATTCTATATCTTAGGTTAGGTTAAATATACTATCAAATTCAAAGTTTTAAGGAGTTTACCGCTACTTTTATTTTTAACTCCATTTTATTTGTGCTTTCATTGTGCTGTACTTTTAAATCAGACTCATTCGACCTTATCTTGATACTATGGTGACAACAGTAACAATAAAGAATATGTATTAATAAATAACGATTGATTAGTTTTACTTTCCATAATTATCATCACGAATGATATCACGAATTACGAAAAATTAGTCGTTCGAATATATAAATTAAAGACTATGATCAATAAAACTCTAATACATAATTTACAGAAAAAATGTGACAATCACTTTAATCGCCAACCTAATATAATTAAAATCCATAATAAAAGAACATATTAATGCAATAGTATCTTAACCTAATACCATAGTAATAATAGTATGAATAAAACTTCTTGTGTTCTTACTTTCCATAATTAGCAGGAGGGACGATGTTAACCTAATACCATTAGGTATTTCATCGATGCGAGAGTTTCTTTTAAGTTTTAAGTCATTTCTAACAAAAGAATTTTAACGAGTTTGCAAATTCTTCACACGTAAAATTGCACCGTTTTTGTGTTGTTCCTGTTTAACGATCTTTCAACGAATTACGGGTTCTTCGATCACGGCAGCGGTATACACGATTGCATTGATCCGGTGCCGGTAACTTTACCTTTAACATTTACGTGCTGAACATGAGAACCCAAATTTTGTACGATCACGTTCACGACTGTGACAATTCGAAAGCTTCCTAACCCGTAACCCCCTTTTCCAGTTCTTGACCAAATCTATTCGAGTTGTCGAAAAATTACAAACAAAAGACGATCTACCGATGACGTCAAAAGCAGTACCGTAACTAGAAAAGAATAAGGTGGAACTCGCATCTTTTAATCAATATTTTAATTATTAACTTGAACATAAATAAACTTTTTAATAATCATTATGTGTCAGATATATAGGATGTACTTTATATAATATGCAAAATATAATTTATAGTGGCTTTTAGCATGCAAGTAGCATGTCTTGATATTTTCCGAACGTTCCTGGAATGACTCGATCTGCATTTGTTCGTCCGTTTGTTTGCCTGTATCAGAGGCCACAATTTTGGGTCTTTGAAGAAGTGAACTATCGTGAGCACAAAATATAGTTGATATATAGTTTGAGATACGGGGTGGCTCACCACATTTTGATGGTGGTATATTTTTTTATAGGTGGACATGTAAAAGACATATGTAGGTCGTTAATGTTTTTTTTTAAATGGAATCATATATTTTTTATTGCACAGCTGATACTCCTTCATATTCTTTACAAAAAAGTATTAATCTATTTATGTGAAAAAATCATTACTTTAGGAGATATTTTAATTCTAACTTGTTAGGAAATCGTGATTTTCTGGTCAATATTATGAATTGCCATGTCCTAACTGAACAGCAAATGCTTTTCGACATGCTTTGAGAGGTCACGTATCACTAAACGAATTTTGAGTTTTTTGTTTTTTTTTATTACGCAGTAACAGTGAAATTTAGTCTCTGTTACGTCTCTAATACGGTGAATACGACGATACGGTGAATTATCACTTCATAATGAAGTATTCTAAAGAAGAAAAGACGGACATGTTATCAGACTATTTTGAAGCTGGAAAAAGTGCTACACATGCAGAAAGATTATACACTACGGAATGTTAGTAAGTCATTAATTTCTCGATTCAGAAAGTGTTTTGATGCAAATGGTCGCCACATTGAACCTTTTCTGTAAATAGACATTAAAATTAAAATATCTCCTAAGCTAGTGGTTTTTTATATGAATGAGTATCAGCTGATGCAATAAAAAATATATGATGATATGATTCCATTTAAAAAAACATTAATGACCTTCAAATGTCCTTTACACGTCCATCAATAAAAAAAATATACTACCAACATATGCCCCTCTCAAAAACGTCATCCGAAACATTGTTCGCTATGAGTAATAATAATGACGCAAATCTAGATGGCAAAATGTGGTGAGCCACCCTGTATAGTATAGTTGACATATTCTTTATTACTAATTTAAAATAGTCTACAAAATACTAAAATATTGTCAAACTGCGATTAACTAATAACTGTTATGCATATATCACCTCGATAGTAGATATTTGTGTTATCATAAACATTATAATCACGATAGAAAAAGTGCCGAGGCTAATTATACTGGTTATTTACTGAAGAAAATTGGAAATGAAGATTTATTGTAAAATATTCAAATAAACAGTAGTTTTCAACAAATTATTCAATGCCTACCTACAATAAATATATGATGATAAAATATAAGAACATATCCAATCATCGTATCGCACTAAAGCATAGCATTTTTCACGATATTCACCTCTCTGCAAAGGTAATAAAATTGAAGAAATAAAAGCTGGCTGTTAGCCAAAATAAAACCTTATCGGCACTCCATCTCTGTTTATCAAACCCAGCGACGCTCTTTTCTTTTGCGTACTAAAACAACTCTTCATCTTCATCTCCTTTATCTCTCATTTCATGCGGTCGAGCTCGACTTCCAAGTGGCTTTTGAATTTCTGCCAATCGAGTGCGGAGTACGAACGTGTTCCGTTTCCATGCAAAATCGATCGTCATGCAAACACGACTTTGTGAACATCGAAACTAAAGATAAGCCAGACTCTTAAGGATACGATCCTCGTGACTAACGTTTAGCGCAAAGTCACCAGGAGACAGGCTCGGTAGCGTTCTTTATTCTCCAGGTGCGCTTATTGCAATAATTGAACGTTGAATCGATCCTATTCTCGAATTCATTCGAGCTACGTGAGTGATGCCAATTTCGTGATGCTAAACGGGCGCCGCCGTCTTGCTCCCTTTAAATCTTTTCTGGCGCGTCACCAAGCGCCGTTAAACCTTTCAGTCGATCCTTAACACCATCGTTTTCGATGTTCGTTTGATGCACATTTTTACAGGCCTTCCTCCTCTTCCCTTTGTCACTTCTCTTCGTTAGTGCTGCTGTTCACCGTGTCGTTCTCTTTCTTCTGGCATGCGATTCGTAGACAAAAGATGACACGTTTTTGCCCCTCGGTTCTTCTCGCGCGGGAGATTCCGTGTGACGTTTTAACGGTTTATTTGAGGGTCCCTTTGTATTTTGGGATGTAGTAAACATGTGGAATTGTTTCTGTCGAATTGTTGGAGCCCCGAATCAGGATCAACACGAGTTGCAAACAATAAAACTTTTATTGCGCAACGACGTACAGAGTTGAACCTCAATGCAATTCTAACTCAAATTAGAGAAGATATGTTCGCTGCATATCTGGATAAAATTTGACTGAAAAACAGTGCTGACGAAAAACGTGGATTTTGGAAAAGATTTTGCTTGTTCTCGAGGATAAGGGTATGAACTGCAAAAGTTATTGGTCAATCTTTAAGAAGTAGTTTAAAAACGGGTAGGAAGTTAGAATATAGAAGGAGATCATTTCTTGAAAAATCCTCATCCATAGGAAATGTACACATTATACCAATAAGTAGAATTTTTTACTTTCTTGCTTTACCTGTACCAGGTCGATTGTTGGACAAATAAGCCAAGAAAGGAAAGAAACTATTACCTTATAGGGATTTTTGAGAATTTCAGAATTTGAAGGTGTCGAAATTTAGAGATTTGTGGATTCAAGAATTTGAAAATTCAGCGATTAGAAAATTTAGAAATTTGGCAATCTAGCGATTTGGGGGTCTAGGGATTTCTGTCTTTTAAGATTTGGGAATCTAGGCATTTTGGGATGTAGGGATTTGGAAATATAAGGTTTTCAGGATTTCTGAATTTGGGACTTTAAGAATTTGAGGACTTAACGATTTGAAGTTTAGAGATTTGGGGGTGTAAGGATTTGAGGACGAAGGATTTTCGGAATTTAACGATTTGGACGTCTCAAGATTTGGGAATATAAGATTTAGGAATTTCAGAATTGCGGAATTTAGCGATTTAGAGGTATCAAGATGTAGGAATATAGGAATGTAGGAATTTAGCGATTTGAGATCTACAGATTTGAGGATGTAGGGATTTCGAGATGTAAGAATTTCGGAATTTAACGGTTTGAAGGTTTCAAGATTTGAGAATATAGGAATTTGGGGATTTTTGAAAGAAAATGGTTTCTTCCTTTCCTGCCTTCTTTTTACGCTTCTTTTAACGCTATATTTGGTACATGCGAAGCAAGAAACACAAAAATA